CAAACTTCTGTTTTTAGTACACTAGGTTGGTCAGAGCTAGCGCGAGTATGTTTACACGAGCCAGAAGTTACACCTGCAGCTCAAAGTGTCAACATACCCATAGTCTTTCAAAGAGTCCCATGCCATCACATGGTCAGGAACCCTGCTTGTTGCCTCAATTGAAAGACAGCTCCTCCTGCTGGGGTGTGGCTGAACATTACTTTGGCGAGAACACCCCCTATTCGAGCACGGATGCAGGTCTGGATTTTCCCAAGAGTTCTCCCATCCGCTGTCTGTCAACTAGAGCCCCAGTCAATGCAGCGCAGCGTAGGCACATGGCACAAATGCTTGGTCGCTTCCCCCAGTGCTGCTTTAACAGCATGAGTGAGCGCACACAGCTGGAGTGAGAGACATCGGATCCATTTAGCTCCATGGATGCACATGACACGAATGGCACTGTCTAATGTGCTTAGGTTAGACCTTGCTTAGCTTGTGGGATGGAGGATAGTAAATATTGTTCACCACTCTGCTGGGGCTTATTAAATAGTGGGGTTAAGAGAACGCCCCCTGCCTTCCCTGTAACCAACCCCCCAAGCCACCCAGTTGTCTGCTGTGATTCCAGATGTGCTCATGCCGCGATCGACCCTTTGTCTGTAGATGGAGAGGTTTGCCAGGCTGGGGAATGTGGGGAGAAGTGGGGTTGCAGGAAACTTGGTTGAGTGCAGCCTTAGCTCAGGTTAATTCCCGGGGTTCCCAGGCGCTGAACGTGAGAGATTGCCTCAGTGTTAGGAGGCTGGGTCTGGGATGCGTGCGCGCTGGTGCGACAGCGGCTGATGACCGTGCAGAATGTTTATCTTACTGACAGATGATCTGTTAAGGTTTCAGATGCAAGCGTTTCAACCCAAGTGTGCTGGTTGCCACAGCGACACGATGCATTAACTCCCCGGATGTGGTGTCTGAGCCCATCAGTCTGGAATGTGATCACCATTTGTTTGTGCTGGTATCACAGGGGCGGCCAGGGGAGGGAATGAGCTACCAGCAGACAGCAATACAGCAGACCCCTTCCCGCTTTGAAGGTCTGAACGGGATTGAGGTCTGGGGCAGAACCCCCTGAAGTAGCATTCAGTGAACTGGGAGCCAGCGGCTGATATGCCCTTTAAGATTCCTTCTGTGCTGCAGGATGAGTGACTTTAAAGGAATGCAGTGCTCCTGAATGGCAGTCCCCTGCCAGGTACAAGGGCCTGGTGGAGGGGCAGCTCATCTGAGCCCAAGATATTCCATCCTTCCCCTTTCAGCCCCCCACTGCCCTCAGCACAGCCGCCATCCTTCCAGTCAGCATCAGGGCCAGGAGACAAGGCCCAAGGCAGTCAGAGACATAGCACATGGAGGATCTGACTTCAGCTCCTTGTCCCCCAGCCCACTAGGGCAGTGGGGGTGTGATATAGAGAGAGCGATTCTAAGGTAGCAGGACCTTGACATGGCTTTCCCTGCATCTTCCCTCCCCCGCCCCCCATGGACTGGCAGCTGGCAAGAAAGACACAGGGCTGAGGCAGTCAGTCCCAGAGCCGCTACAGTCCCACCCCCTGCAAGGGGACATGCCCGTGAGGGTCAGCATGAACTAGCCACTGGGCAACAGGGAGGGAGCCCAATCAATGGCTTTGCCTGCCAGTGCCTTGTGGCCAGCAGGGGGTAGCTGCCGGGTGCTGCTGAGCCATTGATTATTTCCCCCCTTCTTGTTAAGCAACGGCTGCTACATTTACTCCGCTGCTGTGCAAAAAAAGAAAAGGAAAACTAGCTTCTCTCGCAGTTGGAGGGTGGGTGGAGTGGGCGCAACCAGCTCTGGCTGGAGGCAGGAGGCAGGCTGTTCCGGGTCAGTGGGATTCTGTCCGGTCATTATAGTGAAAGGGTTCATTGACTGGGCAGCAGCCTTCCCCCTCCTGCCTGCACACCTCATCGCTCCATCGCTTTCATGGACCATGCTGCAGCTGGACCATCGTAAAGCAAAGTACCTGCTCAGGGCTGGAAGAGTAGGGGGGCTGCACATGAGGACTGGCAGAGCGGGGTGGGGGTGGCAGTACTGGATGAATGGGGGGCTGCAGGTTGCCACTGAGAGGCATCAGCTGATTTCTGTATGGGGGGAACCCAGGACTGGAATAGTGGGGGGCGCTATGGGTCAGGATTGAAGGGCATCGGCTGATCTCTATGGGTGGGGAACCCGGGGCTGGAATAGCTGGGGGCTGTCCAGGATTGAGGGGCTTTGGCAGAGCTGTGTGGGGAGTCCAGGACAGAAATGGCAGGGGTGGGGCTGCAGATCAGAATTAAGGGGCATTGGCAGAGCTGTGCAGGGACTCTCTCCCTTTACGAGGTTTGGTTTAGGGCACTGCTGTTATCCCGTCAGTTTCAGGAGCGTTACCCTTTTCCTAAAACTGTCACCCCAGACAATTACTGGAACCAGAAGGCATCTCGTCGGTTTTTAAACACCAAGCGCAGAATGTGAGCAGCTCCTAAGCCAGGCCCTGTCTCCGTTGCTGAGCTAGGGACGGAAGCTGCAGCGCGCAGTGCAGTGGCTTGTAAGCATTGGGAATTAAGAATGCTGCAGCCATGCCCTGCATGTGTTCGTTTAGCCAGCCAGAGAGACAATGAACTTCGCTCTTTGTCCCTTGGGGGTTTTCTTCATTTAAGGGTTTTATTCTTTAATCAGATCTGTGGCTAAGAGGATTTCAGTGTCCGTAAGGATTGGAATCAGACAAGAGACTGTAAATGAACGGTGAACGCTCAGGGCCTCACTTCTTCTCTTACATCTCAGGGGTCCCCTCCCAGTCAGAACCTCAATCCTCTCTCCCCTTGGGAGTTCGCTGGTGCCCCAGAAAGTCTCTTTGGCAAAGGCAGAGCATAGAAACTGGAGAGACGCCGGCCTGGAAGCGTAGAGGATTTTCCTTTTCTTCTCTGTGGGAATTAAATCTTCTTTCTCTTTATTCGTTCAGTCTTTCTTTCTTTCCTTCCTTCCTTTTCTCCCCCACTCCATAGCCCTCGCCCTTTCCAGCTAGGACTGGGAGTCCAAGCATGTTGCAGACCAGAGTGAGACTATGTATTGATTTCGATATTCCTGTATTTAGGTGTCTAGAACACAGCCCCTGGGCACATGTGACAATGAACGACGAAAAGGCAAGCACCGGGGGCCTGTTAGACCACAGTTCACTAAAGAAAACACAAGGGACCTGGTTCCCTGACTTACAGTAAGGCCCCATATGCTGCTCTCACAACGTAAAGGGGCCTTGAAGCAGGTGGAAGGAATGCCCTGAGAATATCCCGTGTACTGGGGCCTCCCCAGCTAGTTTAGCACTGGCCTGAGGGCTCTATGCTGGCCTCCTCCCAGCACAGAGAACACACAGGGAGCATGGCTGGAGTGCCCTGCATCTAGGGCTATTCTTTGCTTCCCACGGCCCACAGGGAAGCTGAGCATATAACAGAGCAACCCCAAGGCTGCTTTAATTGTACACACTGGGAGCTGGGCAGGCTCCTGCGCAGCCCCAGAATACATGGGGCAAAATTGTGGCCCCATTGACGCTAATGGTAAAACTCCCATTGATGTCAGTGAGGACAGGCTTCTTCTCTTGAGCTTTGGGTTCAAATTCACCTCAGGCTGTGAATGAAAATGAACATGGTCCTATTCCAGAGCTTGTGCTTCTCTCAAAGGGATCACACACCTGACAGTCCCTGCTTAGGAGCACGTCATGGTAGGAGGGTTTGCGAGGTCCTGAATGCACTTGTTAGACGCGGGAAAGAGTTTGGAGCCTTTCATCGCTAGGTCACAGGTTCGAATCCAGTCTAGGTTGGCGTCAATCGAGAGTTGTTACCGTCTGACAACTGTTTGATGATAGGCTACAGTGGAGAGCATTGCTAGGTGTCAGGCTGTTCCCTAGTGAAGGGGTGTTCATAGTGCAAGCGATACCTTAGCTGACTCCTTCACTTACTTCAACAGCTGAGTTAAGGGAAAGTGGGTGGATCAGCTTATGTGGCCTGCATCATGCGGGAGGTCAGACTAGATGACCATAATGGTCCCTTCTGACCTTAAAGTCTATGAGTCTACTAAGGGGGCAAGGGTGTGACTGAGGTAGGCACGCTGCTGCCACACCAGGGAGTGAGGGGAGGAGAATGGGATATCCTCTGGTACCTATTGCCTGCTTTGTCCAATGTGCGCCATGTACAGCTCCACGGGAATAAACCTGGAAAACAGATCCACTGGGTTCGGGTCATGTCCCCCAGCTACTCCCAGACCCTTCAGACATGGCCTGATTCTGTTCTGCAGCTGCTGAAGCTGAAAGGTAGAACTTGAGCCATCGCTGAAGCTTTAACAGGAGCGTTTCACTGGCCTGCGGTGGTTATTCCCTATGGAATTCTGCTGCTTCGTCTCACATTATTAGACAGGTGCCGTAATCCATCCTAATTACCCTGCTCAGTCACTAGCGGCTTTGCAGCGCATCTCAGCAGAGCTGACGATGCTGAGCACAAGAGGGGGTCAGTATTTTAGGCACCTGCTCTTCACTGCTGTGAGGCAGCGGAGAGAAGGGAGGGAGAGACAATCATTCCTTTGGCTTAGCATTGAGGATTCACGCTTAGGCCCCGATCCTGCAATCTGAGCTGTCCGGACAGACCCCTGCAGCCAGGCCAAGTCCCACTGAAGTCAGTCAGGCTGTGCATGGGCACATGGGTTCATCCGCGAGGATCCATTGATAGGATCAGTGGTTTGGGTCTGACCCAAGGCCTGCTGAGTTCAGTAGAAAGGCTCCTAGTGATTTCAGTGGGCCCTGGATTGGGCCTCTTATTGGTAAACTCATCAGGAGGACAGACTGTGTCTCGGGCCTGATTTTCACCAAGCACTCTTAAGTCCAGTCAGTCAGTGCTGCAGGTGCCCGACACCTCTGCAAATCAGGCCCTGTGCGTCTGGCTCCAGCCCCAAGCGGGTGGTCCTGCATGCAATCCAAGCCCTTCAGCCTGCTCTCCTTGCTTTCCCCTTCCAGGGCCCTGCCGTCCTGCCGCAGCACAGGATAAAATGAACAAGATGAAAAACTTCAAGCGGCGGTTTTCCCTCTCCGTTCCCCGGACGGAGACCATCGAGGAGTCGCTGGCCGAGTTCACGGAGCAGTTCAACCAGCTCAACAACAGGAAGAATGAAGGTGAGAGGCCGGCAGGTTCATTCTGCCAGCCGGGGAAACCGGTCCAGGCTTGGCCAGAATCCCCTCCAGGCACAGACAGTTGGTGCAGGGTCAGGATTTCTTTCCACTTGACCTTTAACTGTCTCAAATGGGCCCAGAAAAGCAGCACAAATAGTGTGTGCAACCTTGGGCGAGTCCCTGGTCACTCTATGCCTCAGTTTCCCCATCTGTGAAACAGGGGTAATACCTCCCCAACATTCATTCCTCTATGGGGAGTGCCGTGGGTAGAAAGTGCTGTAAAAGGACAAAGCATTGTAATGATATGTAAAAATAACACATTAAAGACCAGAGCAAAAAGTGGGGGAGCAAGTAGGTATTCTGCTTAAGGCCTGCGCTTCATTAAAGCATGGGGCCCCCTTCTCCCCGCCAGAAATAGTAGCGATTGGCTCTCTGGCAGGCTCGGGCCTTGTTCACATGCAGGGCAGTTCTCCCCCCACAGCAATTGTCTCAAGCTCTCTGCAAACTCAGCCACACCCCGCTCCCGCATTTCACTCCGGTCACATTTACGCCTCTCTCTGCAACCACAACAGCTAGAAACATATTTTAAAACAAAACAAAAAATCAAGGCTGAGACCCTAATGTAGTCACCTGGCTCCTCCATCCAGCCATCTTCTCTCTAAGCTGAGTGTAGAAGACACCCAGCAGCCCGTCCTAGAGATGGCTTTCTTTCCTCCTTGTCCCAGCTCCCTGCCCCTCTGCAGTGCCCGCCGCGGCTAACTGATTACGTCAAGCTGCCGGCACTGCACCCCCCTTAGCAAGCAGCCACGGTGCCTGTCTGCTCCCCCCACCCTGGCAAGCTGACGGGGCTATAATTAGAAACGAGCCTTTAATTACAGGCATGGAAGCTACCGGGATGAAACGGTGCGAGACTAACGAAGTGCTGGGTGCTGACAGCAGCAGCTGGCTGGGCCTTTCTCAGGGGACATCAGCCCTGGGCTCTCTGGCCCTTGGCTCGTTATCGGCGCGCACCAAACCCAGGCTCTGTCATATAACAAGGCGGCTTCCCCGTTCTCTCACTTTAATGAGTCCTCAGCCCTGCTTGTGCCTGGCCTCCTCCCCTTCACTTTTCAAACCAAGGTCTGCAGCAGCCCACTTGTTCTGCCCACCTCTGCTGGTCAGTACCTCTCCCCGGGTGACCCGGATGGAACAGGAGCGAGGGCAGAGCAGAGTACTCAATTGTCTCCCTTTTATCGGCCATGAGTCTGTCACTTTCTTGGGGATCACTGAACCAGGCCCAGGGGTGTGTCTCTACCCCCTGTGTGGCAGGAGAACGT